AAAATAAACACATATACCGCAAGATCATGCGATTTATTAGCGGTAACACAAAATCGCATGATTTTGTCTAACGGCATGCCGTTATTCCGCCGCTTGCGGTTGGTACAGACCGACAGACACCCTACCCGAGGTTTGTTCGCGGCCGTTATAAACTATAGCAAATTACAATAAAAAAAAAAAAAAATTAAAGAAAACAGTGAATTCGACATGGAAGACGAAAAGAATCAGAAGTTGTAACTGAACGATCGAGGAATTATAAAAGTTTAAGACAAGAAAAAAAAATTTTCCAAAAAAAAACAAAGAAAACAATTCCTTAAGTGAACAAAAGGAACTTGGTTTTAATGATCTACACGAGGACACGGTGTCGGTCAATGTGAAAATTGCCGCTAATGTTGATGAAATTGTTCACAAACTTAATCATATTAACGATCTGAAGGTTAATTTCACCGAGAAAGTAATTGAAAGCGTACGGCGCAATAATGACAAAAGCAGCAGTAGGCACAGCATCTACAATGTACTCACCATCAGCAGCCTCTAACCCCATTCACGTTATGTCACAATATCATTGAAGCTGTGTTAACCACTCGAACGGTAGACAACAGTAGAAATGTGGGTATTACAACAGCAGCGTTACATTTCATTTGTATTTCTTCGAAGTCTTTTGCTTACTTCCTCTATTGCGGCATTTGCCACTAACAAGCCGTTTTTCGCTTTCTTCGTGCGGAAACTTTTTGCATTATTTTTATATTCAAATACTTTTTTCTCTGCTTCTTTGATAATCGTTAAAACCAGAAGCAATTATCAATTCTGTCTGTGATTCCTTACCTCTGGCTGTTGTAACAAGACTGAAAGAATGAGAATATTGCGACATGGTATTTTATAGTCGCGATCACCATCGCTGTCCTATTCCATAGATATTTTGCCTGTATATGTGTTACAATCTCAACACAAACTTGTATAGGTGTTATAATGATACTCTTATGTATATCTTATTATTAATGCTATCTTAGGTATCAAATCGTATGATCGCACATGCATAGAAACCGTTAATGCTTCCTTAACAAGAACGATTCAATGTGCTAGCTGTTAACATACAAGCATGACAACAACCGTAAATAGAGAACATCCGAGACCATTGGTTCCATGATTTTGCATAATGTGAATAGGTCAACGCTAACTGTAGTCCATTGATAAGTAGAAGTCAAAATTGAAGTAAGGACGTTTGCTTTGTGCATATACTGAATGAGTTAGCTGGTAATAAATAGTTCTGTGATATTCTGCAGAGAATAAGCATCGGCACAATCAGGCAATTTCTTGTGCTCTTCATTTCATATTTGAAAGTTGTGCGTGCCGACGGGATTCACGTTTATATGTACATGTATATAAACATGTACAAAATTGCATTGTCGGGGTATATATGCTCGGTATATTTATTGTCTGGGATATTTATGGTAAAAGTAAAATAAGTATGTAGGTGTATAAGCATGTTGATCAGCGGATTGCAACATATTTGTCGGGAGATTTTATAATATGTTTCCCCATGAAAAGACAAGGAATGGTTATTGTTGAGACACAAATGTTGGGAGAACAAGGAAGAAATAATATAGCGATAATATTTTCATTATAAATTTTTTGTTATTTCTATATCATTAGTTAATGTATTTCATAATTGCATATATCAGCTCTATAAGTAATACACTTCTAAAAAGAAAAAATATTCATCGTCAACAGTTGGTTTGTTTGTTTATTTATCATAGAGGGTGTTATTTCTCGGATTTTAACGAATTTTGACGATTTGATATAAACGAAACACGATTGAGATAAGAAGGATTATCAACTATCGGTCCGGCCGCGAACGAAAGCTATCTTTCAAATACGGGATTACCCCCCGGTTCAAGCTAGATATGTATACAATACAGTAAACAAGACATATTAGTCAACTACGCTGTGAATTTGTGTTACTTTACATTAAACATTAGTCTAATATCCTTAATACTAATAATTAAGATATTATCATCCTTCTTTACATTCTTTACATTTATTTATTTAAACACATTTATTTATTTAATTTAATTTAAGCTTTTATTACTTGCATTATAAAAACTATTGTCAGGACAAGAAGAAAAAAAGATTTAATATGTTAACCGTATCCTGATAAGTTCAGGTGGAAATAATCTATAAATGCCTTCAATCACAATATGAAGAAGCCCGAAAAAAGGAAAAATGATAATACTTTTTAACACTATTCAATATTTATACACAAATAAACAATTAATTATTATTTAATTATCAATTAACTATTAATTATTCTATTAATATAACTGACTAATTAATAGCTCAGTTTGAATTAATTAATAGCTAGTTTAAGCACCAGTCATTCCTAATAACTCATTTAACGTGTATGGTAATCAGAACTGCGATCAGATCAGAGAAGAACCGTTAAATAATTCACATAGTTTCCCCAAGTGGAATGTGGACAATATTTTTAATCTGATAGGTATATATAGTCTATATAGTATCTATAAGTAAACAGATAAAATAATCTTAAACTTTAGTTTAGACAAATGGAAAATGTATAGTATTTCTAACGATCTTGTGGATTACACCAAACCATGCATATGCCCCATTATATAATTTGAAGAGTATACGTAGAAGTCACTGTAACTTATGATACGTGCGACATTGAGAGAGCTTAAAGAGGTCATAACTTTCAGTGCGTCTTTTAGGGATATGAAGATCCATCCGATCAAATAGAAATGACGAATTCACATAGCCTTTTATCATTTTAGAGACGTAGGTAACTTCTAATATTTTGCGTCTCCCTGACAAGGGTGATAGGGCAACCAGTTTAAGCGCATATGATGGCAAGATAAGTGAGGCTTCCAACGCAATGTACAAAGATCAAATACAAAAAATTCTTTGTACACCGACCCCATCAAATCGATGTGTGAGTTGTAAGTCGGTACCATAACCGAGTATTCTTACACAGGTCTGACAAGCGAAGTAAACAGGCGTTTAGTAACATAGAGATCTTTAAATTCCTTAGTCCAACTTCGATTTAAAAATGCAAGCTTTAATATGATGGTGAAATCGCTACTTGAGATTCAGTAAAAAACCAAGGTCACTAAAGAACTGCATGTTCGTAGTTATCAATAACATAATGCGAATGCAATTCGTAACACCAAGCAAATGAAAACTTACTGCATTTACTTCGATTAAGTGGCATGCCATTAGTGGCATACCAGGCGTACAATGCATTCAAGTTTAACTGGAGGAGTCCAACATTTGAATGAATTAACTAAGCGGAAAATTAGAATGTGCGAGTGCTTAATAAATAATAAAATAATAAATAAATAAATAAAATAATTTACATTCCAATAAAGCAACCCATTCAGCGTTAACAAAATTGTTGGATGAAATGGGTCGTCGGGCAATACAAAGAGATTTGCATGAAGAATGATAATATCCATACTGTTATAAAAGTCAAGGTCCACGATTCTGCCATTAGAATTGCAGAAGTTCCGAAGCCAGACGCGTAATCATCAACAAAATATATTGTTTATTGATGAATGTAAAAACATTTAAAGAATAAAATCGTAATGTCTACATATCTGCATAGGTTTTTTTCCTTTTTCGCCATTGTTTTTCTTTCTTTTATATGATTTTAATTAGAAAGGGAAAATATATAAGCTGGTTGAATTTCGAAAATTGTGTAAATTATGTCTTATGCATTTATTCATACCTAACTAACTATGTTGGATTGACAATGCTTTTAGCATTATTTAGCTTTTCCAGGGATGGCAATAAAATAAGCGTGGAAATTCAGTTAAAAATAAAAAACAGCCATATAATGTATAGAAAATAAGTCATGATAGCAACGTTCGAACTCTTTCTTTACAATCGAGATTATGTTGTACGCTTTAGCGTAGGGAAAACAATAATCCATGGTAGTTGAATTCGAAAGGAAAAATATAACAAACCACAAGTGATATGTGGTCCAAATTCACTATTGTTGATTTACTAAATACAAAGTTCAATTTTTAAAGCAAATTACTATTATATTCCTGAAGGAAGTGTGTGTACATCTACGCAAATACAACGTAACACGTTTCAGATTGCTTATTGGGATTATTATGGCCTGTATATGTTTTATAATTGGCAGAAAGGAGAAAACTGAGCAAAACGCGATAACAGCTATAGGAAAGCTGATGCAATCTTATTGCGGCAGTGCAAAAGCTGCGACAATCTCATATCAACGTGGGTAGTTATTAAGCTGAAAAGACTTAAGGTTACAAATGTCGAATACAAGTATCGCATCTTACCTTTACCTATGGACAAGCTTTTTGACAAAAGTACCATATAACCAGAAATCTATAGCTAGTAAGCTATTGGGGATGCTTTCAGTTTCAATACCGATACCCTGTCAGCTTTGACATTAGAAATTCGATGAGGATGAAATTTTATGTTCTTTACATCAGGAACTACGACAACAACCCGAGAAAGCAAGGGGCAATATTATAATGTCTGATTGTAATTAAATTAAAAGCAAACTTAACTAAAATACACCAACTGAGGTCACTGTTTTTGTTTTTCTCTACTATATTCTCTAATAAAATAAGGCAACCATTTATTAAACATAGGTTTGTTCATTCAATTTTCTTTATAGTACGATTGTCGCATTCCGCAATGTCTCGTACAATCCCATCTAACTTCTTAGAAAATGCTTCAAAAGAGAGCTTTTGTTGTACTCGCTTACGACCCTTGGCCCCCACGTGCATGTGTAGTTGTGCTTGTTGAGTGTTGAAAGTAAAACAGTGTTGCAAACTTAGCTGAAATCGAAAAAGGAATGCTGTAGTAATAGAAAATGAATGAACGAGAGAAAAAAAAGGAAGAAGAAGACGAAAAAATTCCAAATGCGCTTTTTTAACAAAGCAAGTTAATTCCCCGAGATGAAGTAAATTTTTTGCTGCAAAGAGATTGAGGAGACAGTCACAGAAGCTAAAGAAATCTGTAATATCATCAAGCCTGTGACATCTAAAGATTAGATGCTTAGCAGACACGACAACATTGCAAACTTCTCAAACATCACATGGTATAGCGCGAACCATTTTTAAATAAACTTTATCATGAGCCTATAAAGAATTTTGATTTGCCAGGAATTAAAAGAAGATATAGAAAAGTGTTTTATTTATAGAAAAGGCGATTGGATTTAACGCGTGCGATTTCTTTAAATTCGTCGTTTAGCTGTGGAAGGATGTGGTTGCGAATTGCCCGGATTGCTTCATTAGGAGTGTATTTGACGGACAGAATTATCCCATCAACACGAGCTCTCCCTGCATGAAAGTCGGCTTTTAAATTAAAAAAAAAACCGCAGTGGCCAGGTACCCAAACAAGGTGACAGTCATCCACTTGAGTCTCATGCAACATCTTATGAATTTCTCACACATATTGATTCTTCGCATCTCTTTTAGTTATTAGAAGTAGAGCTGAGTTCCTATCAGAAAAAAGAACGAACCTTTTGATACCATTAGAGATAGCAACCTTAAAGCATGTCTGATGGCGAGCAACTCAATACAAGTTGAGGAAAGTTCCTCCGGCACTTTAACTCAATGTACTGTTTTAGATAGATGTTTCACAACCGAGAAGCCACATACGTTATGTCCGGCGGAACCGTTGTTGGCATATATATCGTGAAGACTCTACATTTGTTAGTAGTGAAATTCAAGGGAGGAATTGAGTTTATCTTGAGTTTGATGATGTTACATCCAGATTGACAATCTTTGAAGGCTTTCTCATAATGCCTACGAAGGGTTAAGCTGTCTTTCATGCAATTGCAGATATGGTTGAAGTGGTAGCAAGTAAGGTCATATAAAACATCAAGAAACTCTCATATATTTAACCATTAGAGATAGGGAAGAAGTAGATCTGATCATCTGACCGTACTCCAAATAACACCGGGAACCTTGAAATCCCCCAATACCAAAAAGTTATAGTCAAACACTGATATTACAATCAGTTTGAATATGATCAGCAAACGGCATATAAGAATGAAAATCTGAATAAGGAAGAACATAGGCACAAGAAATGTAAAGATATCTGTTATACGATTGATCTTCACACACTTCGCTGGGGCTCAACCAACAGAAAGTATCATTTTGTACAATTGTAAGAGAGTATTCACACTATATATGGATTCCCAAGAGTACTCTGAGTAAGTGACGTATAAAGAGACTTACTTATATGAGTGTACTTGCATTCCTTCGCCCATCTTTTTCAAAGGCTAAACGCGACTTTGCTTTATTTGTTGAGGATCCTACACGTAAGTTAAATTTTAATTTTGAGTCAAGAAATTTTGAGTCATCGAAACTGACAATTTGCGTATACAATGCCTTATACGACTCTCTTGTGTGACGCCGGACGTTACTGGGTACCCAAGGTAAGCTCAAATTAAACGGTACTCTCCGAGCGCGCCGTGAGACGAGTACATCAAGGCACGCGATTCCCATGGCGAACTATACAAGGACTTACAGCCAATCTGTTCGCAGTATGGAGAGCTGGGCGCCCTTATTTTCGCCAGCCTTGTCAGCAATTTCAGATTATAATGGCTTTTCTTCTTCTTCGCATATTAATCTATTATTATTTATCTATTATCGACTCCACCAAATAGGGACAGTCGTAGAGCAAACGTAATAGATGGGTGCGGTAAATGCCGAATCTACCTTCTATTATTTGTAGATTAACGGCAGTTCGGTCGCAGACGACAGCCTTGACATGCAACTCTTCTATTCCATCCGCATGTGATGTACGGCCGTAGGCGTTTAGCAAGATATTAAACTGGGTCAATAGTCTCCGCGCTGCGAAGACGAGAACAGGTTTGTGCGGCTCGGTCTTCGTTGCGAACTCGTCACTGTATACTATCCTGTCCTGCATGCTCAGGACATCGCGAAATGTCTCTTCAGTATTCGTCTGATACTCATTCGCGTCGCCTGCGCCGAAAATACGCTTATCAAAGAGAAGGTATTTGACGTTATGTTCAGGAAATGGTCAAACGAGAGATTTTTAACCATTAATGCGTCTACGGTTGGACACTTACGTGGGCGGAAGCAAAATGCCTCCTTACAAACTGGAAAGTCAGTTTTTTTCTTTTCATAAAAAAAATAAGGAATTCTTCAAAGTTTTTCTATATATTTTTTGCAAAATTCATTCACATCACAATTGCTTCAATTGACAAAATTTTATTTATTTATTTTTTTTAAAAGAAAAAACAATGGCTTATTCATTTTCCTACAGCGTTGAATCCTTATAAATATAGAATGGTTTTGATTGCCTTACACACATGATTGAACGGAAGTTTTATCCTCACTAATTCTTTCTTAAGTTAATAAGCGCCTCGGCGACGCTGTTATCATATGTTCGTCGTCGCTCTTCTAGAAACTTTATTTTCATAAGTCATTTAGGTGCCTTTGCGAAAATCTAAATAAAATCTATAACTCAATCTTCACATACGATGCTTCCAGCTATCAAAGCTACTCTCTGTAGAATAGGGGCTCTAGCTATGTAGTGCATGAACTAATTGCTTATCTTTAAACTTTCGCATTAATCGTAAATAGAACTAAATATATATATATGTATATAGTGTTATGTATTATTATTAGGCGACCACTCATACACTACTTCCCGAGAAGTTTCTTTTGACATAAAAATAAAACCATGCTATTGATTAATCATGCTGCAGAGCTATTGATAATATGGACAGCCCCATTCTGTTCATTTTTTACTAGGCATTTACTTCAATTTACTGGACATTTAAACGCGCTTTTTGGAGGTAGTCTCTGCGTTAGAAACCTGTGTTCAGCACTTACGAATGCTGTGTAAATAGTGCCTATAGCCAATCGTATCCGCAAGTAGTTTGTTACCATAAAGGTAAATTTCTTTTAGAATACGCATAACTTAGAGGTTATATTACTTGGGCCATAGACAGTAACGGCGATAGTTTTTTTAAAAAAATATCATTTGGATTACATCCAGTGCAAATCCCAGATTCAGCGTTTGATTATGGGACTTGCGAATAATGGTGAATTGCCTCAAGCTAAGTCTTAATAATTGTTCCAAAGACTAAGGAGGTAAGGGAGAATGTGCTGCTTCTACATCAAAACACCATGTACCCGGTAAAGTAAAATTCCCGTTTCCGACAAACATGTTCTTCTTCTCGTTGCAGCTGAACCGAAACCTTAAAAGCTGTATAGCGCTATAGAGATATATACACGACATGTTATGGAGACTAATTTGTCTTTCACTATAATTTCGGCACAGCTCAGTGACAGTTGGATTGAGTGCGGAATTTTTCCCTGGAATTCTGGTTTATTGTTGAAATTCTTTACAAGGATATCACTTCGACAGACTCCTCCGCGAGCAACAAATTTTAAAGAGCCTCGTATTTCTGTCTTGATCCGCTTTCATCCGCAGACACGACCAATGTAGACGAATTGAGGTGGCTACTACGCACCATCTCCTCTTCTGGTAATGCCAGTGCACTTCTGGTTACCATAACGGTCACAGCTCCAGCAGATTATGTATCTGTTTCAACCTTAGTCGGTTTTTGCCAGACATGGGTTGAATAGGCTCTCCATCACAAGAAGAATTAGCCTGCCAGGAAGAAGGCCACCACAGCAAGGACGAACCAATAACTGCACTAAATTGTTTAAACAATTATCTTATTGCTCCAATTTAACTGGAGTGTTTGAATGCTTTCTTGATGACAAGCAACGCGTACCAACCTTCAGTACTTGCCAAAATATTACAGAATTGTTCTTACTAAATAACTGTTTAATAACATCTTTGTAGCTTATCGCCAGCTGTTTTCTTCTTAGGCTGCAGAACTTCGGAACAATTTATGTCGTGAGTTTAAAAACTTCTGTTTACAAACTCTCCCGGTTTACATGCAGGATTGATTACTTCAAAATTCAAGTATGCCTAGCCCAGATTGTCAACTCTGAAAGTCCTCGAAACTGTGCCCATCACCACATTGGATTTATCTTTGGTATGCTGGAAATCATTAGTGAATTTTACAATGTGTTCCAGAAACCTCGCCGATCTCGGACAGCTCTCAGTATTGAAATCTAATGCGTTGACGAATGGCTTATGATCAGCAAATATCACAATTTGTCTTGTCAATTAGATTGGAAGCAATTCTCCATCAAACGTGCTATAGTTGGTTTCAGAAGGACTTCGTTTTTTTAGAGAAAAACGCGTTTGTTATAATACACTCCCAATAGGTGTGCTCGATGCGCAGACTATAAGAATTAATTTTTCTTCGTTGTTAAAGGGAGTTAATGAAACATCTGAAGCAAAATTCTTTTTGATCTTTTCGAATGCTTCTGTTGCCGTTTGCTCCCATTGGAAAATTTTCTCATTTGTCTTGTTTAAAAAGTGAGAAATCGAACTTAAAAATATAACTAAATTTAGCGTATTATGCTAGTGATTTACGATTCGTTAAATTTTTGTAAAGATTTTACGGTCCTTAATTTTTCGAACATGCAAAAAGCTGTAATTTTCCCCTCCCTTTTCAGATATTTCGAACCCAAATATGCATTTATTTGGGTTCATAATAAATGCGAATTTGTCTAATTTTGCGAACAAGATTATCAGGTGTTTTGATAATCCAATCCATTCAAGACTTCATTTACTAATCTTTGAAATGTTTACGAAGAATGTCGAAGTCGAAAAGGTACATCGTAAATCATACATGACGAATATGTTAGTATGCTTTAACGAGATCTATTTTCAAAAAGAATTTTTTATTCTTCAAATCTAAATTCATATCCTTAAAGTAAGCAAATAGATACGTATTCGTGTTAATACGTTTAAACATCTTTAGTCCCAGCAAGGAAGCCAACCTTAGGGTTCTTCTTGGTTGTTAAATGATGCGGCCGTCGCTGAGTGAGGCAATCTGCAAGTATTAGACTTGACAAAACATTCAAATTCTGCCTTGCCTATATTATGTTTGATTACATAAAGAAGTCTGGGCTTGGCAAACTGAAGTAGTCCTCATGTAACCAAGCTATGGGCAACTGAAATAGTCAGGTTCTTGTGTTAAACTCAGAAATTTTTTGAGTAACCTGATGTAGTGATTTTCTACTCCAAAGAGAAGGGAGAGGGAGGAGTATATTGAAAAGCAAGTGCATTCTCGGGCAAACTTCTTAATGGATCACCTTATTCTTTACGTTTCACCTAAATTAATATCCCGTACATCTCTTTCAATGCAATGTTTAGTTCATACTCTTCTCTTCATTGCCAATTGTTGCCTCAGATTTTCAAACATCTGTATGACGTGAACGTTATAAAAGATGATATTATTTTTATCTTAATTCTTAATTTTATTAACACGTTTGACACATTAAAAAGATAAACGAATTCTCTATTCAAAATAGAAACGTTAT